CGAAACAAAAGGAAACGAAAAGCGCCAACAAATAGATACGCTTTGCTCTGCAATCTCAACTGTTCAACTCTATTATAGGGGGTAGCAGTTGTTGTACTATGGATCCAGCACAATCATACCTGATAGCTTCTAATGATGGCCTGCACGGCCAAATGGTCATCGATGGTCTTGGAGTCGGGCGCAGCGCTGACAGCGCCACCGAAATTAAAGGCCGTCAATGGCAACGTGTTTGCCTGCACGGGCGCCAAATTGGGCGGGCTCACATACGAGTTGCTACGGAAGTAGGCATCCCAGGACTGCAACGGGAAACAAATACAAATGTTGTAATCAAAGTATATATAGAAATGCATACAGGTAGTCGTAAAAGTGTTCAATAACCTGAACCGAGTTATAAAAATAAACATGTTTCTCTTTAAATTCACATTTTATGAGTTTAAGCTCGGATCACTTATCCTTACTTATATAAGTAAATCATTAATTATTTCACATTCAAGCTTTAATTAATTGGGCATTTTTCTGCATATGATGTATTCAAGTATTCAAATGCAGAAAGTGTTATAAATAGAGCCATTAGCTAGCGCTTAATTTACTTTTAGTTTATAAAGCCCAGCTGCAAGTCGACTGTTCAATATTCCCAATTCCACCTGCTTCTATTTTTATTCAGTGAAGCAAAGAAACATGTTTAATTTACGATCCAAGGCTGTTGAACTGCCATGCATTCTAAAATAAACTTCCCACTTACAGTGTGCACAGAGCTGGGATCACGCAGCCAGGCGTTGTACATCTCCTCCACGTAGGATGCGGTGCTGCCATTGGCAAAAGGTTCCGCAGCCGCTGAATTGTAGGTGCGCACAGCCGATGCTGCGCTGGCCTTGATCAGCTATTGAATAATCAAATGATTAGATTAATATATATACAAATTCAAATATTCTATATGATTATTCGCTTACCTTCTGACTGCTGCTGCTGTTGAGCAGCCATGTGGCAAAGTTTTTATGCGCCATGGGCGATAACGCCAGACTAAAGGCCGTGTGTGCTCTATGCATTTTGTGGCTTTACAAAATATAACTGCAAAAGGAAATAGAAATTATAATAGCATATTAGAGCATATTAATAGACTGACACACGCAATAGGCCTGAGAGCATGACACTTGCTCTATTGATAAGGCAATTACAGCAACAGCTTTCAATTAGGCTTCACTGAGAGCTTGTTTGTTGACAAATAGCTAATGTAAAACTCGTTGCTGTTTGTGTGTATTGTTGTTGTTGTGTTTGGACAAGTGCTGTGCAGTCAAGGCAGCGAGGCGGCAGACAGTAGACAGTGAACGTATTTTGTAAGCCTGATAAGATAATGCACAGTCCGGCGCAAGAAAAGTGACAAATTTATATATAGTGCCAAAATATGTCTGGCTTTGACGTCATTTCACGCAAAAAATCGCAAACTTGTTGCCAACTAATGGTGATTATGAAATAGAAAACAAGTTAACAAAGTCTATGATTAATACAAATACATACATATGTGCATGTAAATGTATGAGATAAAAGTCTAGACTGCTGGCCAGACCAGGGTTATAGCTATAGATATAGCCACAGCTCTCTGTTTGTCTTTCTCGTTCTCTCGGTCAGACACGTGACCCAATCTGAGTTGCTGATGACGTTTCAAAGAGAAGACGTAGGTTGCTTGACGTTCGCTCGCTTTGCTTTCGCCTTTTTGATAGATGGCCAAAAAAGCAGTCATCTGCACTGTGGTGAAATGTTCTACATATGTATTATATAGATAAACATATACATAGGTGTATATATTTATAATTTTTTGGGCTTGTTTCGGTTTGTTTTTTCTGTTTTTTTTTTTTTTCAGTTTTTTGTGCTGCGCAATTGTCAGCCTGACTGATAATTTTGTGAAACAACAATCGTATATCATTTGCTTTATTTGTCTGGCCTGGTTGAGAAAAAATCGGATAAGATTAACAATATCAACCCCCAATACCAGCCCCCCATACGTTATCTAAAGCCAAGTAGAAGAAAATGCGTCAAATGGAAAACGTTTTCGGCACTCGCATTTGCAAATGTTTCAATTAATTTATGAAATTCATTTTTGAGACCCGATAAGGCAGGCGAAACGCGTGCGATAGTCGCGGCAACAGAAGGCAAGGCTCGAAAGTCAGGTCACATGCGCTTATCAGCGACGCGTGGTTTGATTTGACTTTAAGCTCGAGCTCTGTGTCTGGGCACATAAAACATCATTTAGATCATTGAACAGGCACTCGAATTTGTCAGCGATTACCACACACACACATAACATTGCAGTACTTTGCATATGTATATGCAAACCGGTTTAGTGTGGCGGTCACCAAACGCTCACATAAGAGCTTAAGAGATATTTGAAAGTGCAGCAAAGCAAACGAAATCGATTGTAATTAGTTCGGCAACGAATAGTTGCATCTCTTTCTCGCATTAGCATTGGCAATGTCTGAGTGTGTTTGCTTTGGTTTGTGTGCCGTTATTTATCTGTTTGCTTATTTTGCTTTATTTTTCACATACAAAATGTTTTTTTTTATTCGTTTTCTTTGCAATTCCTTTTTGTCTGTCGCACAAACAACGTCGACGTCGACGTCGACGTCAACGCTAACGTTTCGGTTACGAAAACTGATTACATAAGTGCAAAAAACTCGCGTGAGAGCTAAATAGAATGCTGTCATATATTTTATAATGATAGCGTAACAATACATATATTATGTATATATATATTTACTGCTAATTAAGATTATATATATATATATATACATATATATGTTTATAGTTGCTTTAATGACAATTTAATGCTATATTTCCGATTTGCAAACGCACTGCTACTTTTCTATATGAATATTAATTGATGTACTGAGCTCTTTAATTATGCGTAGCTGACGAAAAATTTCCTTTCGGAATGAAAAACGAACGGAATATATAGAGATATTTACTCGTCACGTCGTATCTGAGAGATACGCTGCCAAACGGTTTGTTCGTGTTGAGTGCTACGCGTCGACTAAACGTTGAGGCGCAGAGCAGCCGAAAGATTACCCAGACCTCGAACTGTATGCAGTGAAGAGAGTAGAAAACAACACTCGAAACATTTTTGTAGAAATCGAATTTTTGTTGTTGTTTTATATACGTTGGAACGAAACGTTAGAAAAACACAATCAGCGATAAAAAGGCACATGACAGCGCAAAAAGCAACTAAGCTAGATATAGATAAAAGTGCCTATACATACGTACATATATTCAAATAAATATAATTATATCTGTGTTGTGTGTGTATATGTGTGTGTGTGTGTAAAAGGGGCCAAGCGCATACTGATAATAATCACTTATCGTACTTCAATATGCCCTTATCACATCGCCAACAGACACCTATATATAGATAAATATGTGTATGTGTGTTTAGGTTCCATTTTCTACCGAAAGATTTTGTTTACAATCATTTCAAAGTCCGCTCTTCATTCGAAAGTTTTCGTCACCCTTTGAAATTGCCCGCCTAAGCTTGAAAGAAAGAAAGAGAATGAGAGAGGGAGAGGGAGGGCGGAGTCAGACAGGGTACTATCGCCGTATGTTATAATTATGCAGGTATATTAATCAAAGTTGATTAAACTACATATATAGCTATGCAGGAATCTATACATGTAGGCGCCTATCGTGCTAATCAGTAAAAATTTCAAGTTCAAATGCGCATTTTGCCAGCTGCTTTTTGTAGGCAATGGGAGAAATATATCAGCTAGCAAAGACACAAACCAGCTGGTCAGACAAATTGCAGCTGCGGCGGCAAGTGGAGACAAGACGAGCCCCCAAACTTAAAAGAGAATTGGAGAGTACAATCGCACATGCAAAACAACTTCAGTTGAAAGAGGACGACTCCGACACTCACACACACACATATGCATACACATACAGCCGCTAGCAATTGTAATTTAGCAGACCGCGTGCGTTCATTGAGCAACACCAACTAGAGCTGAGTCAGTGACTTGGCTGTGACTGATCACGCTACCTGTTGCTATCATTCACAGTGACAACCAATAGCAAACCATATAATTGTTGCGCATCTCCAATAAGCAAGAGAAACACATACTGAACACCAAAAATGCTGACCATGCTGCCGCTCTTTACGCAAAACGAAAGGAAGCAACAACAGCAGTAGCAGTAGCAACAAGCACGACTGTAAATGCTTTAAGCATGGTGATTCACGGGCACAAAAAGCACACGCGGCACTCTGCGATTTGACTAACGCAGAATTGCGTCATCATTGCAATATTCACAGACGACTTTTATGAAAACATGTGACGTAGATTGGCCGGCAGTTGAACCAATTGAGAAATTTCACTTTTTCTGGATTTTAAGAAAGCGCACGCGCAAAAAAACAAACGCCCACTTGCATTATATAAGCTTTCTATGTAGAGGGCCAAGGAAAATTATTCTTAAAGCTGCATCATTGCACTTGAAATTTTGATTTTCCATTCCAGTTCACTATTTTAACAGGCTTGCAGCAATATTTATGGACATAAAAATTGCTGAAGTTTCACAGTTATTCCACGAATTTGACCTCAATTGGATGAATACCAGATTTGAGTCGAAATTGAGGAGTGGTAGTAGTATATACTTTAAAGGGCGTAGTAACAGAATTTTAATTGTGTTATTTTTTCTATATTGCACTATATATTTCACTTTTTTCAATTAATTATAATTATTACTTTTTCGTACAATCCAGCTCCAAACAATTCGCGTTCCAACTCGCGGCCCTATGTGACCGTACGCAGCTAATACGAATATACCAAAAATATCAATTTAATACTAGAATAAATGGTCACCCTGTTGAATGGCGGTACTTTTTTTTCGATTGTGAGTTTAGTGTAATGATATAAGTAACATATTGAACAATATAATTTACAGAAATAAAATGGAATTTTTCATGTGTGGTGCCTATTATGGCAAGCTCACAGACGGCAAACTATGCATACTTAGGAGACACACTGGCGCCATCTAACGCTTGTATACAATAGTGCAATATGCAGTTGCTGGCAACATACAATAGATGGCACTAGCAAAAGACAGACAGGTTTAAAACTAAAAAGCAACGAAACAGTAAATAATATTGTTTCTTTATATATTAAACTGAATTTTGTATGTATTATAAATTAAATAAGAATGTATGCGCATTTTCTGTTATGGCACATTAAAGCACGGTAAACATTTTTTAGAAGCGCTCTACCATTATAATAATTTAATAGCTTTCAACAATATGCAATAAATGAAGCTGGAGAAAATGATATAATCTTCAGACTAACTTAACAAAATACTTATACAACTAGCCAACATTTAGTAATTTAATGTCCACTTAATATTTACTATATTGATCCAGGCAATATCCTGTTATCTGATCTGATATGCAGTCAAACACATCGAAGGCCAAATCGCAGCTTTCGCCTTTCTGCGGGAGATCGCGACGACTCACGTGATATTTATTGGTCATGGCCCGCAGACAGAGATTAACGGATCGCAATGTGGCCATAAAAAAGCCGTGCTCATGTACGCCTTCCGAGTAAAAGCCAACCAGTCCGTCCAGCGTCGGCCAGCCGTTCTTGTCAATGGCGTTGTTCCTCGCATAGACGCAGTGCAGCAGACACTGAAAGAAAATTACAAAAAAAAAAAAACCCACACACACACACACAATCAAAAAATGTATTCGTAAGCCGCATTCAATTTGCTGATGCATAAAATGCAGCTAATGTGTATTAAATGCAAACATAAAATCCAATTTTCAGCCATCAAATTTAGCGTGCGGTGTGAGAACAAAAAGTTGCAACTGCAACAGCAACGACAACGACAACGGCAACGACTGCAACTGCGCTTTTCTTTCAATTGTCTAGCTTCAGCAGCAACCCTGACTTTTGTACACTCACTCCATAGTGAGGAGGGTATATTGGTTTTAAGGAATTTGACATTTTGGCAGTTGAGAATGAAGAAGGCGCTGTGTCTCCTTATTCTCTGTTATTCAAATAAAAGAGAGTATATGGGTCCACTGTGATTCATTTTAGTTTTCCTGGGTATTATTCTTAGCTAAACTCGACAAAAATATCGCCACTGAAATTTCATCCTGCTCAATTTTTTTTATAGAGAGTACCCTTAGCAGTGTAACACCCCGTTGGCTATACCCGTTTGCCAAATTCTTACATGCTTTTAATTGCACACGGCAAATCAATGGCAAGTGGCGTTTGTTGCACTTCGTCTGTTCTGCCATTGAACTTAATTGCCGTAATGCAAAAATCTGTTGGAGTTAATGAAAAGTCGAATCCGAAGTACTTACGCCCGCTATGCGCTTATCTTCGAGTGGCACCAGCGTGGGATGATAGATGCCCGCACTGGCCACGTCCAGACGCTTGATACTGCGCACGAGCCGAGCCATGCGACGTCGGGGCTCGGGCTCATCGTAGACAATGTACTCGTAGTGGCTGGCATTGGGTGGCGCCTCTTCGGAGCTGTGCTGTAAGTGTATTTCGCTGTGGACGGGTGGCCAGTCTATCGACTCAATGAACTCCACGCTGTCATCGTCCGTATGCAGCGGTGGCTGCACCTGTGACACCTGCTCCTTCAGTATCTCATAGGCCTCTATTGGAGTGCGTTTCATATCACTCAACATGCTCAGGCATCAGTTGCAAGCCTTACCTGTCACCAGCTTATTCTTGACCTCGTCTTGGCAGTCCCTGATCACCGACTCCACTCGCCTGGCCGTGCGTGGCGGGTTCAAGCAGCGCTTCTTCTTCGCCTCATAGCGTATCACGTACTCCAAAGACGTAATGGACGCTATTACGGCTAGCATATGCAGGAGTTGTGTAATTTTCATGCTGCTTTGATTGATGCGCTCTAATCGAACTGAACGCCTCGGCCACTCGCTGTCTATTGACTGGCTGGCAAAATTTTCAACGAAAACGAAAGCATTTTCACTTTCCCGAGAAATTACAGGATTGCTGGCTGATGGCCTTCCTCTCGATTGCAGCTGCTGGCTGTTGTTGTTGGCAGTGAAAACGCATATGAATTTCCAGTTTTGCTCTATGGGTATGTGGTTCAATGGCAATAACTGCAACAACAACAACAACAGTTGCAACTGGTTGCACATTTCCCATGCGTGCAATTGCCTCCAAATGTTTCATTCATTTCAGTCAACAACTTGTCCTTAACGGCGTTCAGTGGCGTCGATTGTTTCATTTCCATTGTTTCATCCATCAACTGCTCATATTCCATTTCAATTCACATTGTTGCCTCCCCCCATTGCTGCTCCATTTGACTGCACAATTGGTCAATAGATGGAGCCAAAAACTCTTCCGCATACCAAAAATTAGCATATTCAACTAGAGTAAATGGAATTCGTACTAAACTCTAATCAAGATATGAGTTCGCATGCGGCAGTCATAACACACACATTTGGACAGCTTGTGGGTCAGTAAATCATGAGCAGCGAACCAAGATGCCACGTTTGTGTCTTAAGTCTTTCGTTCTAGCTGCGCCCTCTGCCCAAAGTTCTAATCAAAATGTTTGACATATTTTGCTGCTGCTCTTTGTAAGACAGAGAACAATGGCCAATAACTAGTTTTAGCTACGGCACTCGCTAATTGGACTCATTAAAAAAGGTTGGATAAACATTTTTTTTTTCGGTTTGGGCACATCCTAGGCGGAAATTGTGACTATAGCCGCACAGTGGAGCACTTTGCATAAGAATTATTACCCCTAAATTTAAGAACGAGAATTTCAAATTGAATTCTTGCACACTGTGCTTTAGAGTTCTATAAATCTTTGCTATTTCAATGAATGGTCCCACTGTGCAAGTGTTTGAACTACAGAGCGGCTAGACTCTTCCTGCCCTGGCCAAGGCGTAATTGCCTTTAATTGCAACAAGACGAAAAGAAAATTGCAGCTAAGACACTGACCTAGACTCCGTAGCGCTGCAAATTTATAATGGCCAAAGATGATGGAGGCTGCCTGAGTGGGCGTGGCCCAACTGCAAATTGCCCGCTCAGCCAGCGGCAGGTTCAATGCACAGGAAATGCTTGTGGCATAGATCACGTGCAACCGAAGAAATTGTCAACAAGCAGGAAGCCAAAGCACGACACAGCAACAGCCGTAGAACTAATTGACAGACAGAGAGACAGGTGGACAGCTGGACACGACTATTCTTTCTATTTTGTTGCCAATCTTCTCCTGTTCTGCAATTTACTGAACAAGGCACACTCGACGAGGCATTGTTGGCCAAGCAACGGGCATGCAGCTTACAGCTTGCAGCTAGCAGCTAACAGAACAATCCACTTGCGTGTCCATCATTAGAACAAATTCTCTCACCTGCAATATCTCTGCTCACCCTTCCCTCTTCTCCCCTCCTCTGCTCTCTTCTGTTTGTCTTGTAACGCAATTTGCACACAAATGTTGTTTTCATCTTCGTGGCTTGCCACTTTTGTGGGTGGGTGGTCAGGTGAGACAAGTGGCAGCTGCTTGTGCTGCTGCTGCTGCTGCTGCTGCTGGTGCTACTACTACTGCTGCTGCCGAGTTGAGCTTAGCTGGCCACCGTTGGCTGCCTCGCCTGAGAATTGTATTTAAATACAAAGATCTAACGCTCTGGCGCATTCAGTCGCCAGCCGTCGTGTTGTTCTTGTCGCTGCATTTCGTGCTTCCATTATACAGCTGACTACCTGTACCAGTGTCCCTCTCAGTGTGTGCGCGTGTGTCTTTGCAGGATGCGCGTCTAATTGGCGTTTATAGTTGTTTAGCCCAGCTGCAAGCCATTTGAATTGCAAAATTTATGGAAATGTTGCGCCTGCTTTGGCTTTTATGCGCTGCATTTGGCCAATTCAGTGATCCTGTCTTAGCTGAAATCGAATATAATACCATCAATGCCGATGGATCGTTTCAATTTCGGTATAGCCCAAAATACATAAACTGTGAAGAGAATTTAAGGACAATTAAAAAATATATATATTTAAATAATATGTAGTAAAAATATTATGAGTTAATTAAATAGTTTCTTAAAATTCTACCAAGTGTTGGGTAAAGAATGATGAAAGATAGAGAATGTGCGATGAGCATGTGGACTAATGAAATGTGATTTAGCTGGTGAAAATTCTGTGAGCAATTTTTGTAGAATAATTATTGAATGAGAAAATCTTCCAAATTTAGATGGAAGAATAAAATATTAATATTAATTATATTATTTGTATTATGATTCATAACAACTAGTGAAATTACCACATTCTTCTGACTACTCTCGTATGCCTCGGCTATGCGTTTTGAGAAATGATGCCACTGCTTCGAGCGACAGATGAGTTTTAAGAAGAAATTAGGGAATCAGAACAAAGTGAAGCTTTAACCTTGCTTGATTATGAGGTTCGATCTCAAAATGAGAAGGGAAAATAAGCTTGCAGCTATGTTGATTACTATACTTATTGAACTGACAGCTCTCCACTCGTAAGTCCCTCTGGATAGAAACAATGGAAAAGAATAATTAGTGCATAATAATATTATCCACTGCTTTGTATATTTCATTCGAAAGTGGGTCAGTCATCTGAATAATTTGATTTGATAATTGATCTTAATAAATATTTAAATTTTTTTGCCAACGATACATATGCATATCTATATTTTTAAATATTACTTATAATAAATAATTTAGTTATTATAAACATTTACCCAACGGGTTTAGCATATTTAGTGTATAGCTCATTTAGTCTATAGTTTTTTACACCTTAGCTCAGGTAAAGTTCGTATCACGCTCTGGCTCCTTTTGCCAGCTTTAACACCTATTTTAATGCCATTTTGCAATGAGTAACTGTTTGCTGTGTATTATTCTACCTATCTCTCTCTCGCTCCCTCTCTATCTCTCTGTGTCTCTTTCTGCCTTACCACGCATGGGCAACATACGCAATTACTGTTTTGGATAGACATGCAAATGATGACATTGGCGGCTACTATCACAGCGCCTCTGGCACTCCGGACAACATCGTGCGAGGTCGTTATGGTTCGCGTAGTCCAGCGAGCGGACAGATCGAAGAGACCGTCTATACAGCCGGACCACGTGGGTGAGTAAGCCGAACACATAAACAAGATGAGGAAGAAGAAGTAGGAGGTGGCTGGCAGTTGGCTAAATTAAAGTGTGGTAGCCAAGTTAAGTTATCTGCTCGGTCTCGTATATCAGCGATACGACAGGTGCGAGCGGGCGTAGCGCCACTGAAGCGTGCCAAGGGGCCAGGGGAGGGCTTCACACTCAGAGTCGATTCTAAAAGCATTTGAGATGCCCATAGACGGTGGTCAGGGGAAGTGCAAACAATAAAAAACGTTCAACTGTTGTTGTTGTCGGTTGCCTAAACGTTTGTTGTTGCCGTTTGTTCGATACAATTTTAAGGTGTTTTGTGGCAATCTCCGGTAGTTGGGAAAACAAACAAATGAAACAGAAGACGAGATCAATCAGTAAACGACTGTGCGATACTCGTTCATGTTTCCAAAACAGTTGATATGTGGTTCTCGTTATAGAGAGGGTCAACAGCAATAGACATATTGAATTTCTTCGTTTGTTGAATCTTAAGATTCGATCATGAGTATTCGTACAGTCATATAGAACTTACTAGTAAAACCGATATACACATCTTTTTACTTGTCGAACGAGTATACAAAAAGCCGTTAACAAATTGTAAGCGAAACATGGCAATCGGAAAATTCATTAAGATGCACAGCCGAAAGATAAAAAGTAGAATGGAAATTGATAGAGAATACCCGACGAGGCATGTGGTAATAGCAGACGTCATCAGTTCGATTGCCACGATTATCAGATAGCATTCAGAATTGTTATTGCTTATGGGAGCAGGCGAGCGATTTTAGCAGTCAGCCCGGCCGTTACCCAATCTGGCATCTTGATTCCCAGTGCAATTAGCTAATCATAGCTCAGCAGCTAATTGAATGTCGAATTTTTCACAGCTTTCGCGTGAATGGACCGAAAATACATCGTAAAATGGATTTGGCACAGTATCCGGTACTTCCACGTGGCAGTCCCGATGATCCCCTCGCCGATCCCTACGATGATCCCTCCTACAGCTTCAGCTATCGCTCGTCGGATCAGTCTCGCAGCGAGGAGAATGATGCCAACAATAGAATAAGAGGTAGGTAGAGTAAGCTGCACAAGAGCTTCTCATTTATATTTTGACTCTTTCATCCAGGTCTCTACTCCTATTTGGATGATGTGGGTGAGCGGCACAGCGTGCGTTATGCTGCTGGCGCTGGAACGGGCTTTGAGATTTCCAATGCGGTACCTGATAATCCCGTTAGTGTCGGCTACTCCAGTCCGCTGTACAAGGCGCATCCCAAGACTCGTGGCAAAATGTCCGTACAGCGGGGTCCGGCGGGCACCTACAAGCTGATTGCAGCTGGTCCGGATCATCGACGTGCCGAGAGTCGTGCTCCAGATGGATTAGTGCGCGGCACCTACTCCTTCCTGGACGACAAAGGCGTGCAGCGCACTGTGGAGTATATAGCTGGGGCGGGCATTGGCTACCGAGTGGTGAAAAATAGAGTGGGACCTGGTACTCACATAAATCCCTCCGTAGCGGACTTTCGACTAAGCGACACGGATTTCCGATTGGCTAATGATTTTGGTCGGGGAGCGGGCGGGAAATTGGGCGGAGGCGGTGGTGGCAGTGGGAGCAGTGTTGGTGGTAGTGGCAGTGGTGCCAGTGGTATTGGTGGTTCAGGAACAAGTGGAGCTAGTGGACCAAGTGGTGACGGTGGAGGTGGTGGTAGAGGGCGAATTGGCGGCGGAGGAGCTGGCACAGATTACTTAAAAGCTGGAGGAAAGACAGATATAAGAGTAGCTGGAAACGGGTTAGATAATGCTGAAGATGACATTGAATTGAACAGCAACTCCGGTGGATCTGCAACTGCAGATGGTGTGAAGTCTGATCGAAGAGGCTATGCGGCAGGCAGCTCGCAAAGAGGCAGCACCAGATATGATGGAGGTGGTGGAAATGGAGGCGGAGCTGGAGGTGGAGGTGGCGGCAGATATGATGGAGGAGGAAATTCTGGAACTGGAGGAGGCGGAGGAGGTAGATATAATGGAGGAGGAGGAAGTAGAAGCGGAGGTGGCGGTGGAGTTGGCGGGGGCGGTGGTGGATACAGAGAGAGCAGCTCTGCAGGCAGCAGAAATCGAGGTGCCACAAGCACGAATCGCCTCAATGCAAGTGGATCAAGAAATCGCAATAGATTTAGTGGGGCTGGTGGAGGAGGAGGAGGAGGAGGTATAGGTGGCTTAGCTTCCGCTGAAGGCATAGCCACTGGATCAGGCAGCGCAGCTAGTGGACCGGATGACAATTACAATCTGAATGATGATGATGTGGGTGGCTCCCTGCCCCCGCTGGTGACCACCAATCATCGCATACTGGAAATTGATCGGGATCGAGAGTGGGTGCAACGACATCGCGACTCCACGATCATTAGGAATGTGGGCAAATGGTATGTGGGTCTGCCACCAGGCCAAAGTGTCCGAGCTCATGTGCAGAACATAGATATTTTGCCACTTGGCGGACGAGTCGCATTGTCACCATCGGAGGCACTGCGCCAGGACGAGATGGCCGAGCTGGCCGCCTCCAGGGAGCACTAGAAGGCAATAACTAGTTGTAGTTGGATAGCTAATAGTTGTTAGTTAAGTAAGTGCTCGCAACTAAGATAAGTAACTGAAACGGTGTCAACTGCGGTTGCGCGTGGTTTCAGCTGTAACTGTAACTGTAACACTATTTATGCTAAATACATAATACATTTGTGCGTGTCTATGCCAAGTGGTTGCTCATTGTGGTTACAGTGGGTTATATATAAAGAAGCACTCAGCTGTCTTCACTTTCAGTCTTTAGAATGAGCCGCCGATTGTTGCATTCGCTGCATTTGCTCTGCCTGACCAGCTGGCTGTGCCTAGTGCAGGGCGCACAGGTTTACATAGAGTTGAATGGCCAGAGCTACGCTTACAACACGGACGTTGCTGTGCAAACAAACGATCTGTCACCCAACTATGAGATACCAGCAGCATACCAACAGCAGCAACAACAACACCAACGACAACAATCCCAGCAATGGCCATATGCCAGCACGCAATCGTTATCCCGGAATGCCAAGTGGGGCTGGCTGCAGCCTGATGCAGCACCTCCACCAACGCCAACACCTTCACCAGCGCCGCGGCAGCCACAGAATTTTGATTTTAGCACTCAACACATGTCCCACAGCCAGCACACGGATGACTCTGGCATTGTGCTGGGCAAATATTCATACTACGATGATGCGGGCTATCACGAGCTGAGCTACAAGGCGGGCCCTGGCATTGGATTCGTGGTCATGGGCGGCAATTTGGCCAAGCCAACGGAACAAACAGCCAACAACTTGCATAGCTATTAATCTATATACTCGTTGTATATAGTCCCTAGACAAATAAAATCAAATGCAGTTCGACAATTTCCTGAACTTGGGTTTATGTCAACCATAAAGACTTCTCAGCTCAATCGAAGCTACCGACATTACGTGCATTGTTAACTTAACTAAAGTAATATTTTTGGCTTTAGTTAGCGTTCAACGTTTTAAGCCAATTGAAGGTAATTCATTGTAATTTGTTTTTGTCTGAATTGACAACGAGAGTTTGACAAAAAATAATGAGGATTTTATACTGATGAGGACTATTCAGGTATTAAGTATTAAGGTATTAAGTAAGGTCACAGAAAGTTAATATATTCAAATGCTGTCCACTTTCTTTCCTCTAAGATCTGTGCATCCTTCATCTATACAATGGATATTTGCAGACATTTGCTGCATTTATCGATCTCTATTTACTCTGCTCAAACTCACAGAAGCCCTGACTTACTATATATAAATATATACGTATGAAACTGTGCACAACTTCTCTGCCAAAGACTGAATAATATGAAGGTTGTGAAACTGTGCTAAACTCTTTAAGTGAATGCTTGAGAGACAAAACAAGAAACTTGAGATAATACCACTGCATGACAAAAGCTGAATGCTACGAGACTCAATAGAAGGTACATAAATGCCAAAGATTTGCAATATTTCCACACGCTTGTGGAAATATTGATCCTCATTGCTTTCGAAATAGACAACACAATCATATGATTCACAGAAATCATATGATTCTTCAGCGAATGAACAGCGAAATCTGGCAGAAGCAAAATGCTCTGAGACTGCATGACAAAAGCTGAATGATATGACACTCGGTGGATGGTACTTCTAGGCATACCCTTATGGATGATTATGAAACTGTGCTAAACTCTTTCAGTGAATGTTTGAGAGATAATACAACTGCATGACAAAAGCTGATTGCTATGACACTTGATGTAAGCTAGATCAACCCATCAAGCACTCAGTTCGGTTTCGATAACTTTGTTATCGATTTCGATAACTTTGTTATCGATTTCGATAACTTTGTTATCGATTTCGACAACTTTGTTATCGATTTCGATAACTTTGTTATCGATTTCGATAACTTTGTTATCGATTTCGATAACTTTGTTATCGATTTCGATAACTTTGTTATTGATTTCGATAACTTTGTTATCGATTTCGATAACTTTGTTATCATATGATTCTTCAGCAGAAGAATGATTGAGAGACAAAGCGTGAAACTTGAGATAATACAACTGCATGACAAAAGCTGATTGCTATGGAACTAGGTGAAAGTTACATCATTGCCAAAGACTGAATAATATGAAGGTTGTGTAAATACTGATCCTCATTGCTTACGAAATAGACACATTCTCATATGCAATCGAGCAATCGAGTTCCATAAGAAATAATCGGTTTCGATAACTTTGTTATCGGTTTCGATAACTTTTATCGAACGAAACTTGAATCTTGAGCTACGGCAGATGCATGACAAAAGCTAAATGCTACGAGACTCAAATAGAAGGTACATAAATGCCAAAGATTGACTAATTATTCGACAACACAATCATATGATTCTCAGAAATCATATGATTCTGACTGAATAATATGAAGGTTGTGTAAATATTGATTCTCATTGGTTACGAAATAAGCAACATGCTCATCTGATTCACAGAAATCATATGATTCTTCAGCGAATGAACAGCGAAATCTGGCAGAAGCAAAATGCTCTGAGACTGCATGACAAAAGCTGAATGATATGACACTCGGTGGATGGTACTTCTAGGCATACCCTTATGGATGATTATGAAACTGTGCTAAACTCTTTCAGTGAATGTTTGAGAGATAATACAACTGCATGACAAAAGCTGATTGCTATGACACTTGATGTAAGCTAGATCAACCCATCAATCACTCAGTTCGGTTTCGATAACTTTGTTATCGATTTCGATAACTTTGTTATCGATTTCGATAACTTTGTTATCGATTTCGATAACTTTGTTATCGATTTCGATAACTTTGTTATCGATTTCGATAACTTTGTTATCGATTTCGATAACTTTGTTATCGATTTCGATAACTTTGTTATCGATTTCGATAACTTTGTTATCGATTTCGATAACTTTGTTATCGGTTTCGATAACTTTGTTATCGATTTCGATAACTTTTTATCGATTTCGATAACTTTTTATTGGTTATGCTCATCAATGCCATCAATGCCACAGACTGAATAATATAGTTCATTGTTCATGAAATAGAAAACATATTCATGATCACTGATATACACATAGATGCTCTTAGATTAGATCTTCTAGCGAATTTATGGCAGAAGATAACTGACAAAAGCTGAATGATATGACACTCGATGAATGGTACATCCTACACAACTTGTAGATGTTACAACTTGGGAAAATATTGATCAGAATTTACTCGCTAAATAGAAGGTATAGCCCTATGAATGATTTCTTAATCTGTGCTTAACTCTTCTAGTGAATAAAAACAAAATAACAAAGTTATCGATTTCGATAACTTTGTTATCGATTTCGATAACTTTGTTATCGGTTTCGATAACTTTTTATCGATTTCGATAACTTTTTATTGGTTATGCTCATCAATGCCATCAATGCCACAGACTGAATAATATAGTTCATTGTTCATGAAATAGAAAACATATTCATGATCACTGATATACACATAGATGCTCTTAGATTAGATCTTCTAGCGAATTTATGGCAGAAGATAACTGACAAAAGCTGAATGATATGACACTCGATGAATGGTACATCCTACACAACTTGTAGATGTTACAACTTGGGAAAATATTGATCAGAATTTACTCGCTAAATAGAAGGTATAGCCCTATGAATGATTTCTTAATCTGTGCTTAACTCTTCTAGTGAATAAAAACAAAATTCGAAACTTGAGTTAAGATGGCTGCATGACAAAAGCTGAATGATATGACACTCGGTGGATGGTACTTCTAGGCATACCCTTATGGATGATTATGAAACTGTGCTAAACTCTTTCAGTGAATGTTTGAGAGATAATACAACTGCATGACAAAAGCTGATTTATGACACTTGATGTAAGCTAGATCAACCCATCAAGCACTCAGTTCGGTTTCGAGAACTTTGTTATCGATTTCGATAACTTTGTTATCGATTTCGATAACTTTGTTATCGATTTCGATAACTTTGTTATCGATTTCGATAACTTTGTTATCGATTTCGATAACTTTGTTATCGATTTCGATAACTTTGTTATCGATTTCGATAACTTTGTTATCGTTCATGAAATAGAAAACATATTCATGATCACTGATATATACATAGATGCTCTTAGATTAGATCTTCTAGCGAATTTATGGCAGAAGATAACTGACAAAAGCTGAATGATATGACACTCGATGGTACATCCTACACAACTTGTAGATCAACCCATCAAGCCCTCAGTTCGGTTTCGATAACTTTGTTATCGATTTCGATAATAATCATATGATTCTTCAGCGAATGAACCGAAATCTGGCAGAAGCAAAATGCTCTGAGACTGCATGACAAAAGCTGAATGATATGACACTCGGTGGATGGTACATCTAGGCATACCCTTATGGATGATTATGAAACTGTGCTAAACTCTTTCAGTGAATGTTTGAGAGATAATACAACTGCATGACAAAAGCTGATTGCTATGACACTTGATGTAAGCTAGATCAACCCATCAAGCACTCAGTTCGGTTTCGATAACTTTGTTATCGATTTCGATAACTTTGTTATCGATTTCGATAACTTTGTTATCGATTTCGATAACTTTGTTCTCGATTTCGATAACTTTGTTATCGATTTCGATAACTTTGTTATCGATTTCGATAACTTTTTATCGGTTTCGATAACTTTTTATCGATTTCGATAACTTTTTATCGGTTATGCTCATCAATGCCATCAATGCCACAGACTGAATAATATAGTTCATTGTTCATGAAATAGAAAACATATTCATGATCACTGATATATACATAGATGCTCTTAGATTAGATCTTCTAGCGAATTTATGGCAGAAGATAACTGACAAAAGCTGAATGATATGACACTCGATGAATGGTACATCCTACACAACTTGTAGATGTTACAACTTGGGAAAATATTGATCAGAATTTACTCGCTAAATAAAAGGCATAGTCATATGAAACGTGTGATTAACTGGCTTAACTCTTCTAGTGAATGTAACAAAAGCAATACTTAAATTAGGGCAGCTGCATGACAAAAGCTGAGTGCTCTGCATGACAAAAGCTGAATGCTACAAGACTTGATGTAGACTGTAGACAAGACTCGAATAATATGAATTGATTGTTCATGTAATAGAAAACATATTCATGATCACTGATATATAGATGCTCTTAGAT